CCACCACCACCACCACCACCACAGCCCGCCTATACCGAGACTAAGTGTCCCTCTTCTCCGCAACGACCCCGTAACTGATAACCCGAGGGGTGGGGTGGCCATTCCGCTTCACAAGTCTCGCACTAGACTTAGCGCCTATCCCTCTTCATGTCCCTCATATTCGTGCTGCAGCACAAGGGGGCGCGCAGCGCACAGTATATGTTTGCCCGAAACACACCGCGACGCCGAGGGCCGAGTACCGCTGTCGAATATCGACATCCGTCGTGCTGCTGCATGTTGTGCTACGGAAGAACGCTTGTTCTATTACGGCTGGCTCATAGAGTGTATACCGGGATCCCAGTACGTTTGAACCTGCTAGTCTATGTCCTCTGTGCACTGATGCGATGATATAGTGTCGTGCGAAGACATGCACCCGAATGAAGAGGTCATTAATGCAAAGAAGCTAGCGCTGAGATATGCCAACGCAAGTGCCGCTTGTGCACAACGTCGTCAATCAACGCGTTGAAGGAAGCCAGATGGGGATAGCGACGTGCCAGCGTTCCGCGGAGAGAACCTCGTCCTCCTGTCTTACTACATTCACTGCGAGATGTTTCTAACTCTTGTAGGATTGAAATGCAGCCTTTGCAGCCTGCGGAGAGCTCTATAAGTTCTCATCAGAAGCTCCGTGCGATGCGTCAATCCGACATGCCGGACAAGATGATTACTCGCACTACGCGCAGATGTACTACCAAATAGGTTGGATGCGCTTCTGGCTGGATGCAGAGAAGTATTTGCCTACTTTTTGCATCATCAACCTCTTCACCTTTCCAATCATAGACCGGTTCTGTCTGCTGATGGTCCCGAACGCAGACCCGGATATTTCAGCGCTCATGTGCGGAAGCGCCTCCCGGACATCAATGTTTCACGACAGCAATCGGCTTGCGACGGAACCGATTCTGAACATCAATACCCAGACTTTGGGGCTACGCTTTTTGCGCGTATATGGTGCGGTTCTTGATAGAAGGGCTTATGGAGGCAGAGAGTTCGGAGAACGATGAAGATGCAATAACACCCTCGACGGGAAAGAAGTTCCTCCCGAAGTCCAGTGCAACACTTGGTTATATTCGCCTTCAGTTCATGGATGTACCACTAACACATCAATTACCTAGAATGCATCTTCTGGGTGAGCCCCAGAAATGTCCCGGAGGGGCTGTCGCGGTCTCTAACTTGCGATGCTCGCACGAACTGCTGAGAGTTATCTCACGTGAGCGTGTCAACTTGCTTATGCTGTACTCTCACAGAGTCATGTGCAGTTGGTTCGCTACCCGCTGGCGGCGGGTCAGCGAGCTTCTACAATGCACCCATGAAGCGTCCACCGGAGGATGGCTCGTCACAGTCTCAGCGTATACATACACCCAAATTCTCGCCCTCTAAACGACTTAGAACCGCAGGCGGCTGTTCAACATCGATCTTCTCGCCAGCGTCTACTCAGAGCAAGTTCGCAAAGAGCTCTCTCACATTCTATAATGCTCAGGATCTGGGCAAACCATTCACCTTCGGCCCGGCCTTGTATCGCGATGTACCTACCCCGCGTGTGTACAACGGGAAGGGCGGGAGGTCTAGCATGAGCTCTGGTGTGCTGGAGCGGGTGGGAGAGGAGAGACTGGCGTGTGCCTTCGACCGCCCTTTTGGCGGCATCGCCATCCAAGATGTAATGAACTCTGAAGGCAAGTGTATGTTCTCACTGAATGCTCTGGACTCACGACTGAGTATCTCGTCAAGTTCCTCGAGTTTCTCAAACCGACGACCCGGGCGCTTGTAGCGAAGATAACACGGCCACGGTCGAGTCTCCCAAACCTCCCGAAGTGGGCCCTGGACTATTGGGGTTGGGGAAGCGGATCAGAACTTTGATGGGGGTGAGAGGAAGCCCTTCTCCAGCAGCTGTCATAGTGTTGACAGATCCACAGGATTTTCCAAATGTTAGCTGGGGCCTGTGGCGAGATATCTTCCTGAACGAGGCAAACCGCTGGGATGGCCGCGCCGACGCGATGGGGCTGAAGTGCTGCCCCAATTGCGGCCGGGAGGGCTTCCCGGATCATCGATGCGAGGACTGCATGCAGTCAAACCTCTGCAGGGAATGCATGATTCATTGGCATCGATATAATCCCTGTCATAGGGTTGAAGTGAGCATTGACCTTGCGAACGACCGCTACGTGTTTGTTCTGATGATCCAGCAGCGCTTTAACGGGGACTTCTACGAACGGGTCCGCATGGCCGATCTCGGAGTGCGTTTGCAGCTCATGCACCCTCCCGGAGAGGCCTGTAGCTTTCGCGCCGTGCATCAAGTCGAGAACTTCACAATCATCCACACTAACGGTATTCACAACATTCCTGTGGACTTCTGCGGTTGCGATAGGGGCGCACATGTGCCGTTTCACATCCAGCTGATGCGCGCTCGACTCTGGCCTGCTACATGCGTGAACCCACAGACCGCAACGACACATGAGACTCTCGATAGCTTCACGCGTCTATCACTACTTGGCCGGCTGAACGTGTATGATTACTACCAAGCATTGGAGGCCGCGATGGACGGCGCTGGCCTTTGCAGTATCCCAGTACGTCCGGTCTTTCTATCTTTCATGGCATTGCGGGTTCAAACGCGACCGTATACACAGAACGTTCGCCAGCAACTGACCAATTGTGTGCGTCAGTTCCGACACATTCTCATGTTCAAACGCAGTGGACGCGGTCACGAGGCAGGTGGAATCGGGGCCACTTCTCTTGGCGCTTGTGCAGTTCGCTGCCCCGCCTGTCCCAATTTCGATATGAATGTGCCAGCGGACTGGATCACCGAACCTTTCAAGTACGTGCGCAGTGTTGCGACTCAAGTACTATCGTTCAGAAGTGCATACAAGGTGGCTCTACCGGGTTATACTGTCTATTGATGCAAACTTTCGACTTAACAACAAACTGACTCATTCGACGGATATAACAGATCCAAACTTCAATAACGGCACAGCGTACATGGCGTCAAGAAAGGAATACAATGCATACCTCGACGCAAATGAACCAGATGGCACTGAAGAAGAGGTAAGTAATGCGCGCGCGTGTACTTACGCTCCTAACACTTGGGATAGCCTAGCGATTGCTCACAATTCGAGGCGCTGACAATGGCCAACAAGAAGGGTGGCAAGGGAATGCGATCCACGGGCATTGCTGGGTGCTTTTGCGCACGCCATGAATTCGTGCAGCCCTTGGGTCTCGCTGTACTCAGGAAAGGTGAACGGTATGACCTTCACACTACGAGTCTCATACCATCAGCTAAAGGCTCGTCAGCTACATTACGGTGGACTGGGTATTCTGCGGCGCATTGTCATTTCTGCGCTGCGCGGAGGTAACAGCTTGCTACGACATCGCCTGCCAGTGGAGCAGACGGATTCATGAGAGACTGGCCAAGATACCGACGACATCCCATGTCTATCCCGGAGTCGTCCACTTTTTCAAACACCATGTCGGAGGAACAATCACTTATGTCGTTCCGAAGTTTCATCTCTACGCACACCGAATATTCTGTCGAGTACGCTATTCCCTTGGGCTACTCCTTGGAACAGGCACAACCGATGGAGAAGGCTGCGAACGTGTGTGGTCCGGAGCAAATCCAGCGGCATCTAGCTTGCGTGAGATGGGTTCAGGTGGTATGAGCGACACAATGGATGATATGTGTAGCTCCTGGAACTGGAGAAAGACGTGCGGTTTGTGTAAGTGGTGACTTGACTCAATCCTTGGCATCAGGCTGATTGAAGCTTACCCTAGCTGAACTTCTCCGAGCCCGCATGGAACGCGCACTCGAGGACGCCATTGCTCAGACAAAGATATTCACTCATTTCACGGAGGCAATTGAGGCGGAGGAGCCTACGCGAGTAGCCCAAGCCAGAGCAGCCATCAGAACGTGGGAGCAAGATGCCGAGAAGAAGGATGGTACTCCATGCCCTTACTATTACGAGAGTGAAGGTGAGCTATTGGTGAATCAGTACCGGGTGGGGGATCTGCTCAGTCGTGTCATCGTAGTATTGCCGCCAATCGATGTTAAACTCCAGGCAGAATTAGCGCAAGGCTTGCCTTCTGATCCCTCACGACCGTCAGATGATGAGGACGCTGCTGCGTTGGCGGATTTCATCATGCGTGGGTTCAAGATCGAGAACGATAGGTGTGTGGTGCTGAAGACGATAATCCATGTTCGAAACGCCTTACTCACTGAAACAAGGGCGCGATACTCTACCAAACGTCAGAGCGACAGCGGCACAAGTGAACAAGTGACGGACAAGACACAGGAACTAGACAGGATTGCACAGTCCATCCGGCGATTTAGGAAAGCGCAAGAATATCATATGCCCGCCGTCTACGCGTCCCTAACCTCGGAGGAAAGGAATCCAGAGCGCAAAACAGCCCTAACGACCAAGCTCTTTCTCCCCTCAGATCCTCCTGATCACGATGTTAGTCTCACAACAGCTACAACACGAGCGATGGAGGCGAGACTGAGGTGGCAGGAGATGATACGTGAACTCGACATCCTACGACACCAGCTGCGTCTCAAAGGATGCCTAAACAGGTTCAAGGCGTTCAATATCACGGGCCAACGAGATAACACCCGAGCTCGCGAGGCACAGGACGTCGTCAACGCGTACGTACAGAAGGCTGCGAACGCTTACAGACGGCATCGCGACGCTTATGAAGCCTTGGAGGGAAGGGGTGATTGGCAGAAGACTATGCGTAAACTGAAGAACGCTGACTGTCGTGGATTGGGCGACCGTCTGATTGAGCAGATGGAGCAAATGTCCGAGTCCAACGTGCAGAAATTCCTGGCCGGAAGGCGCGAGGCTGATACATCTGGCGAAACGCGGTACGAACTACCCTGGTTCTGGTACAACCAATCGGAGGAGGCAGGTATCCAGATTACAGACGGTAAGTGAATGCTTTCAACGAGATGAGACTGCCGTCTAGATTAACCGAGTTACAGAACTCATGGTTGAGTGGTGCAAATGCCGAGCCCGTGCACAGCACATTGTGCAGGAAGTTCGCCTTCTAGACGAAGAGATGCGCCGCATTGTCGAGTTCAGCACGAATATGGCGAAGCAGTGGCAGGAGCGATGCGCACCAAAGGACAGGATGGACTTTGGAGCAAAGCACGCATATGCGACTGATCTGGGATGGGAGGATGGTGTGAGAGCATATGCACTCAAGCAGGCATGGATTCGTCGCTCTCAAGCTGCGAAGTGGCACGCAGAGTGTGTCGGGCACCGGGCTCTGGCCCAACGCTTCCTCGCTTTGCACACCACCGAAGGGCTATCGGTCGACGCACCCGATGTGCCCGCCTGGACTCATACGGAGAAAGCCCTTATCAATGATACTGGCATATCCGAGCCCTCGAGTGTGCGAGCGCTGGACATTCCATCGCAAGACACATATGGAGTACCGACGGTCACACGACATGCGAAACGTAGACAGTAACCGATTGTACAGCGTGCATTGGCCCTTCACACCTCTATTCACATGCATGTTGTCTTCACGCAATGATATAGACATATTTCTGGTAATCAGGACATGAATAATATTATTGAAGTTCCCCTTGCTTCCACCGCCCTTGCCCCGAGATCGCCGCTAGGAACATACTTTATTTTCCAGGCCGTGAGGAGTCACCCGGCGTATGTCCTTCAGCCCGCAGTGCATCTTCTGCGACCGTGCAACTATCTCGTGTGTCCTGGGTTGGGTGATTGGCCCCGTCTCGGCGGTGTCGAACTGTCAAGCAGCGCTGAGTGGCTGGTCACGCCGGATTGCAGCGTCGGAAGCAGCTTTTGATGGGCTTCAAGATTTAAGCGAGAGAGTTGTGGTTGTTGTAGTAGCCTGCAATCATGTCAGCGTCTTAGACCCCAGAGTGCATGTCGGGTATGGTGGTTCCAGTGTCCGCGCAATAGAGCAGAACTTGTTGTCATGTTGAGCTGCTCTCTCGAGCACCTGCTTGACAGCCCCGCATCAGGATGAGATTTCAGAAAACATGGGAAAAACTCACCGCTTTCCCAATGTGCAGGCCCCACGGAGGATTATTCTGGAATTCGGCCAAGGCGACAGCGAGTCCTTCCTCTTCGACGTTGTCCTGGAGGCAGTTGCGGACGGCGGTCATGGCAACGGCGACCGAACGGTCGTAGTCGCTTTCTGGAACATTCTTGCCGACGGTAGGTTCCGTGGGGCGCGGGGGATAGAGACCTCCCTCGGAGAAACACATTTCGACGTAAAGATACCCGTTGTTAGTGAGGTGAAGGATGCGCCTAATCGTGGGGAGCTGTTGTTCTGCGGCGGCGAGCTGGTACTTTTCGAATTTCAGCTTGATGGGGTTCGTCTTGGTTTCGGCGACGTCGCGATAGTAGTCCGCCTTGTCCTGGATCTCGAGATCAGAGCAGTCCGTAGGCTAGATCGTTCATATGTTAGAGCACTGCATACCGTCAGCACGGGGCAGGTACGTACGATGTTGTTATATTCGACCTTCTTGCGCTGCGGCTTCCCGATAGCCTTCGTACGCTGTGCGGGGTGAGCTTCAAATCAGGAATGTATGACAGGCGCACTCACGTATTTGAACGAGGACTCGGTGCCGGGCTCCTGCACGAAGATATTAGCAAATAGATCAATAGCGTCGAGGACGCGGCGCGGGCAGCAAGGGTCGGGTAAGGTGACCTGTAGTGTAGTATCAGTACTGTTGATTGACCATCTGAACCGGAGGACGTACTATAATAGTGATTCATGAGTGTGAGGATCTGCTAGCGCTCATCGCGAACGGATCCAAGGCATCTAAGGAAGTGTTATGTTAGCGTGGGATGACGCAGCGGTATACGAGGCTGCGTACCTAGACGCGCGTTGATGACCTCGTACCTCAGTGTCCCTCGTCACCCGCACCGTAGATCCCAGCCCTCACGGCAAAGGAATGAGGCGGAGTAATGGGAGGGGAGGGAGGGGAGGGAGGGGAAAAGCGTGTGGCGCAACATGGTGGTGGGAGTCAAGTTGACTTCGCCATCAGACGCGCCGCGGCGCGACTTGCGCCGTCCATCAAGCGCCCGAACTTCAACTTGCAACCGGTACCGACCACCATGGCCGCAATGTCCAACCGGACCCGCCGGTCGCCGCAACAGCTAGCGGTGGGCAGCGGCGGGCTC